GAGTACACAGGGGTACACAGGGGTACACAGGAGTACACAGGAGTACACAAGGGTACACAGGGGTACACAGGAGTACACAGGAGTACACCGGAGTACACGGGAGTACACAGGAGTACCCAGGAGTACACAGAGCCGGTACGTCAGTGAGATGACATTTGCTAGCAAGTTACTAACAAAGCACAAAGCATTGTGGGAAAATCCTCCGCTATCACCAAACACCCAGTATTGTCCACTGTCCCCAACGCTCCCTGACCTTTAAGTCAACACAAGAACCCCATTGTCTCCACTCAGTGGCCCCCCCGGGTGGCCACAAATATGCTTGGAAAATTTGCTGGCCCCACGTGTTCCCATAATGCTTTGCGGTTTTGGGACAATCGCATCGTTTATGTCTGCGTTGTGAACTGAACTGAACTGAACGGAAGCCGTAAAGTACGTAATAAAGGAGCACTCTGACTGAAAATCAATTTTTAAAAAAAAAAAAAAAAAAAAATTGATTTCTTTTCTGTCTGCCATTAATGGACCGGCCTGTAGGGGGCGCCTGTGAGTGGAGCAGGTTCAACGTCAACAAAAAAAAGATAGAGAGACAGAGAAAGTGTATGAGAGAGAGAGAGAGGGAGAGCGTTCTATCGGTAATAACACTGTTTTATTTTTCATTAATATTAATTAAAAATAATAATAATTATTATTGTTATTATTATGACTGTAAATAATGACGTTCTCACCAGTTTTCCCTCCCGGTTCTCCCGCCGGTAACAGCCGGGCTGACTCTCCACCGGTGTCGGGCAGCTGCCGGAGCGGGACTCGGTCAGACCCGGGGACGGGGAGCAGAACGGCGGGCCGGGACTCGGGGCCAGCCCGGAGTCGGGGCTGTCGAGCAGCCCTTCCCGGTTCTTTCCTTTCAGACTATCGTCCATCGTCTGGAGGTGGAGGTGCCCCACCATTGCGGGCGGGGGGGAAGAGGCAGAGCCGGCGGACGAGTCGCTCTCCCCCCGCTTCTCCCGCCGAAACTTCCGGTGGAAGGTTCTGGAAGGAGGACGACGACGACGAGCGGCGGGAAGCCTCGACTACGGTGTTTCCACCATTTTGAGAAGAAAAAAAAAAAAAGTAATCCAGAAAACAGTTTGACGTCACGACCGGGTGGAATTTTAACGAAAAAAAAAACAAAAAAAACCCCGAAAAAGAGACAAAAATACGGTCCAAAACGACGACGGTTAAAGCGGCGGCGTTCGCTCCGCTCTGACTCGGACTCGGACTGTGAGAAAGTGAGAGGGACTGTCAGTGTCTGCGCACGCGCAGTGGCGGCGCTAGAGTTTTTTTTCTACGGTTGGCAAAGGTGTGGCAGCAGTGTGGCGCCCCCCCCAGGGGGTGGAGGGTTGTCGTCGCGCCCAAACGGTATTTAATCTTTAATACTAATATAAAATCGAATATATATTTATGTGAACGACGACGGCATTAACACGCTGTGGTCAGTGCTTTTGCCTTACAACAAAAAGGGTCACGGGTTCAATCCCCAGTTCTAACTAAGGTTTTTTTTTTTTTTTTT